TCGAATGTGCGCGCCTTCTTAAGTGGCTATAAATGTCAGCAAATCCCTTGACACTTAAACCAGCGCATTTCGAAGATATTTGCTTCCTATGTACATTTCGAAGTAAATTTAACGGAAAATTCTAGCGCGTGCCTACGAGCCTACAGATCGACATATATCGGTACATATGTATGTACATGCCTCACGCCAGCAATCAGCTAATTTCGTCCAAACACCTCGTTGGGCGTGTTGCATGTTGTCGCTACACATCAGAATGTCATTAGCGCCTGTCGATGCAGCACTCGCTGCCAAATAGAGTGCCGCAGCTTCATTATCTTCAGCCGGTATTTTTAGATTTGGACGCAGCGCGTCACGCAAGGCGGATGTCACCTTGAGCATCAAAAGCAGGAAATTCGTGGCTATTTTTAAAGAACTCTAAATAACTTGGCGATTGGGAAAAGTTATTTGAGGTTAGGTGTAAGCATTTTGGGTGCTCAGTGGTGCTCAGTGGATATAAGTATGATTGATTTCAATATAAAAATTTGAAAAGCGACAACAAAGGTGATAAAATAAATTGTACAGATTATTAAATAATATTATTTTATATTTCGCCACTTAGTAGAGAAACTAACTTAACATAATTTTTCATAAGTTTAAAGGCTACCGAAAAACGATATAATAAATACAACTCATATTGAAATAAATTTTGAGTTTTAGTTATAAAATGCTTATATAGGGGTTATATGTTGGTTATATCTGCCTGCGGAAGCAGACAATTTTATGCTACATATATGATGTAGGGTGTAGTGAATCGTAAGCAGTGGATAATTAATTTTCGATTTTTTGCTGATACTGATTTTATTTTAGGTTAGGATATGTATAATTAATTTTATTTTTATTAATTTTCCATTATGTACAGAAAATATCTATATATCGAACAATATGGTGACAGTTTTTGCAATCAGGAACACCCCATCAAGGGTGTCACTTTTATTACCTCTCATTGACAAAATAATAACTTCTAGTGCCCTTCTGGCCGCACGAGTTCTCAAAAAAACTCACGCGTGAAACACTTTACTCGCTGTAACGCCCAAGTTGTCAATTTTAATATCGTGTTGGTTCTTTGCAGCAATATGCAACACCTGCCACGCGAATTCAAACGCACGCACCATTCCACACACACACACACAGTTAAGCGTGCATTTATGCGTGCGTTGGCGCTGTGGCGCTCGGCCCTCCATAATTTGCGCTCAGCACTTTTCATTAGCGAAATTGGGTCAGTCAAGCGGCCGGGTTGGCTGCCAATGATGCCGCGGTGCTGCGACGGCTGTTGCTGCTCTAAAAATGTTGCATTGACAAGTTGCTGCTCCACTTTGTGGGCCAGATATCTTGCTGATGCCATTCGTCACTCATACTTTAAAGGTTGTTTCCCTATTGTTGTTGTTTTTGCGCTGGTTGTTGCCATTTGTCAGCGCTGTTGTAGCCCTGTATAGATGTAGTTGCGTGAACGCTGAAGTGCTTTATTATTTATATTTTTATTTTAGTGGCTTTGCAGTGTTTGCTTTGTGCCAAAAGGAAAATATTTCTTAGTTCTCCTAAACAAACTGTCTTTGTGTTGTTTAGTTTTTCGTGTGCCTGGTCTAGTGTTGTCTGTGGTAATGTGAAGAGTTCACATGGGCATTGTGCAATTCTTCGTGCAGACGGTAAGGCGCGGGTGTGCAATGCAGTGATTTGTATTTTCGTTGGAAGCGCACTTAATCTCACAGAAAATATTATTTAAAAAACAAATGTGTGGGAAAATGAAAACGACGGGCATAAATTTATTTTTTAATACTTTTAGAAAGCAATATTTTATTTGTTTTTTTTTTTGTGCATTTTTTCGGCTGTCACATAAACTTGTACTAGCGGGTGAATGCGATATTCATAATTTCTAGTTTTTGGGTTATTTATTTTGAAAGCTTTCGAAAGTTTTTTTAATTCAAAAGGTGAACTGGAGCAAATCATGAACTTCTTAACTGTCAAAACGGTTCACGCACCGTCTGAAGGTTAGGGCTAACTAAAGCCAAATGGATTCAATTATTTTCGAATTTCTTCATTTTTGAACAGCTGTAACCTTTTTTCACCTTCTCCGAATATTTTTAGTTTTATTAGCTTAAAATCTCACCTTTCCAACACTATACAACTATGGGATAACACAATGTGATTGTTAGCGCTGCAGATATGCAGCTGCAAAGACATCTATTGACAAAATACGAAAAGACTTTTTCGACTAACCAATACATTGGTTATGTAGTCACGTGACCGCAATTATCAGCATCCTGCAACGATTCATTGAAATTCCCACACACATTCGAAGTAATTATTATCCGTTGCTGCTTTTTGTTGTTGTTGGCGCTTTTTCTTAAATTTAATTGTTTCCTTTAGTGACAGTAGTAAATGTGGCGGCAAATAAAAATTGAAAAGAAACTAATGTGAAAATAAAAATTGCAAATGAATTGGAAGCAGCAAAACATACGCCAAAAGTGAAGCCAAAATCTACAGTTTATTGCAAAAATAAAAAAGAAAACAGCGAAAAATAGTTGTAAATGAAATAAAATAAGTTGGCGTTAGTTAGTGGCACATTGAACCTGTCAATGTCAGAATCATAAAAAAACTAGCAAAAACAAAAAAGTGCATTAATAGTGAACGACACAAACGAGTGCTTTGAGAAAATGTAAACAAATCCAACTGCGCAAAGTGCAGTCAATGTCGATGTCGAGGCGACTAGCTACCGAGGCGGTGCCTGTGTTGGTGGTGTTATAAATATGGCGCATGCGTGGCCGCGCGCTCTAAACGTTCGTTTGTAAGACTGGCATCTGTTTATGCATTTACCGACAAATGATTGGTGATTTTCCGAAATGGATTCGAAATTGCACGCTTGATTGCCGGCTGCCACCGCGAGTGCGCTGCGTTGATCCACGCGCTGAGCTGACTTGAGTTGAGTCGCATTGCATTGTGCCAGTGAGTGTGTTGGCGGGCGCAAATCATAAAAGCCAACAATCAACCGACAATTGACAATCGACAAGCAGTTGCCGCAACAGTCGACAGCTGGCAACATCCGTCCGTTTAGCAGCAGCGCTCAGTGTAAACAAACATTTCTAGCGAAGCAAGCGAATGTCGTCGGCGGTGAATTTTCGCATTTGCACGACGGCAAGTAGTTAATGAAAAGCGTTTCGCTTCACTTGTATCGCTAATTGAAAGAAAGTTAATCGCAAATATACACGTAATCGCTCGTCGGTTTCTGCGCTGCGCTTTACACCATCATTATTTTTGCATTATTTTGGACAAGTGATCGTGTCCCAGCTGTGCCGTTGTAATGGGGGCGCATAGCTCAAAGGAAAAATTGTCGCGCTCATATTCGGAGCGCTATATACACACACAAGTAATAGAGCGCGAACGCTTCGGCAGTTTCGGAAAGCGTGCGAAAGGTAAGTAATGAAGTCGGATTTCGCAGTATGAATAAAATTTAGCGCGAGTGTTTATGTTTAGCTCTTAAGTTATGGTGAAACGGTGCTTAAAGTGCACGCAAGGACTCAAATGGCACGTGCTATCAAAACATCACCCTTCCTAAAAGTTGTTTCTTTAATTTAAATGCGCGCAAAACAGCCCGAAATCCCAGCTGCATGTCTTATGCAAACTTCACAAATATAAAAGATCAGTTTCATCCGACAATTGGAAAATATGTCGTAAAAAAAAATTTCTATGCAAACACTTCATTTCAACCATTCACTTTGATGTTGGGATGCATAGACATTACATCCGAACATTTTCTTCAGATATTGAATTATTGACTTAGGTAATAATCTATGCCAAATTTAATGAGATATCTCGCGAAATGGAAAAGTTTTCTATACAAGCACGACAATCGTTCAGTTTGTATGGGAGCTATATGCTATAATGATCCGATATCGATGGTTCCGACAAATAACCAGCCTCTTGTGGTAAAAATTATAAGTGAAAAGTTTCTGCGCGATATCTCAAAAACTGTAGAACTAGATGGCGTATATACAGACAGACAGATATGAGTAAATTCATGGGTTCAGCTGGTCACGCCGATAATTTACATATATATTTTATAAGCTATGCGATGTTTCCTTCTGAGTGTTACAATCAACGTGGCAAACTTCATATTCTCTGTTCAGTGTAAAATAACAAAATGCTGTAATATTCCCCATTCCCTCAAAAAAGTTGTTCGCATACAAAGTCTTCAAATCATAAAATCTCTTAAGCAACTCCTAGTACTTTTCAATAAGTGCATTGAGCATTGTTTTATCTGCAATTATGCAAACTATTTTTTGAAAAGCAGCAAATAAACGTGAAGGGCACGCTTTCCCATTGGCTTCGCTTTTGATATACGAAACGAGTATTGCGCAGTGGAGAAACATTTTGAACATCGTGCAACGAATTGTAATGGAAATGTTAAAACTCTTCAGCATCTGCATGATTTAATAGCCGGCAAACGATATGGTCACGTTACACCCGATAAACAACCGAAACATAAGTAAGGGCACGTTTTCGGCGGTCATGCTCGTGAAAAGTATGCTCCATCGCTCACAAAGCCCTCACGTCAGCTGCTTTACCGTGTGCATGTATATGTAGTATAGTTTGTACATAAGTGCTATAAAAATAAATATTTACTTATGAATAATTTTAGTTTGTAAGTAAGCCAGAGATAACTTCAATCAAATTAATTTCCAAAGTTTTTGGTATTTCCTAAGTATTTCTACTGTTAACTCCAATTGCTTCCTGCTAATCTGTGGGAAATATTTTAACCTTATTTGAAGAGGTTGAAAAACATCTGTTCTGAGTAGTGTATATGCAAAGCAGCAGGTTGGGAATCTCTTACGTGTTGTGGTGTTGGAAGAAGTCACCATTTTCTGTATTTCTGACCTTCTGCTTAAATGACCTTCATTCGCATATTCGTTAACCTTAATGGAAAACTCATTCTAACTGAATTGTCTTTTTATTTAATTACTTTGCAGGAGCAGCCAAAAAGCGTGATGTACGCAACTTGAGTATATCACCAACGGATTTGGGGCCGCCACCCAAAGCACAGCAGACTGCCAAAAGTACATCGACACGGCTCAAACCAACAACCATCTCTTTGACACGTAAGTTTTTGTTGTATTTTGTATACTTATCAAAAATGTAAAAAAAATTATAAGATAAGCATTAAACTACGATGATAAATTCCACACGAATCTCCAACTAAACACACCAAAATCAACTTCTATTGTATATTCAACATTTTTTATTTGAAACATACTCTTCAATGTCTCATCACTGCACTCGCCTCTAGCACATGCCGAACCCATTAGCTGGTCGCGCTTCAATACCCCGTCCGATCATACGACAGTTGTGCTCCTCCAAACGCAAGCGCGCTTTTTCAGCATCCAGTTGCTCAAGGGGAGACCACAAACGCTCGGCCAACGCACTCACACGCGGAAACGTAGTTGGCAGCACATTATGCTCATTGATCCACTCACTCCACAAGCAGGCTTCGCCGCCAATTACGTGGGATTTTTGCGATTTATTGCCATTAAAGTTAGTCGGTTCGACATTATAGAACTTCTCCCAGTCGGCGCCAGTGTCTAACACATACAGATACCAGCCATCACTCCTAACGACATCTTGTCGCTTTTTCGTTAGTGTTGCCGCAGCGTTTTTGTAATCAAACCAAATTTGTGCGATTGTGCCTACAGGCCAGTCCATATAAGAGTTTTCGATCATGGCCTGTAAAAAAGTGAAAAAAATTCATATATTACACCCATTTTGATGACAGCGGTATTTCCCTTTAGTTAACCTCCTGCCACACCATCTGCTTCCATCCCATTGCAGAAATGTTCGCGGAGAATCGCTCCAAATATAAATAGGGCAAGTCTCCATTGTCCAGTCCATGTGCCATCAGGTAAGCCTGAATGTCGGCATTTGATTCCCAGCAAGCCGAATCCACTTCATCGACGCCCAAGTGTAGGAACTTGTCGGGAAAGAGGAACTTGATTTCACTGTAATTTATTTAAAGTTTCTGACGAACAGATTAGTACTTATAGAGTTTGTCGTTGTTTAACACAGACCTGAAAAATTTATGAAGAAAGTTAAAAGTGGATTCTTTAGTCGGATTCAACGGTCCCAATTGCCCTTGGAATTCGCCCTCACATTTCGTTAACAGTTCGGGATGTGAAGCTGCCCATGAAGCGGTGTGCGCTATAAAGAGATGATTGTTAAACATCTTTCTCATCCTAACTTCAAACTTTTTACTTAAGAATAAAAGGAAAGCTCATATAATGCACCATCATAAGTAAATTACTGTTCTTCTTTGAGAAAGAGTAATGTTATCAATGTAGTCCTTATGAACTGCTTTAAACGATTCCATTTTTCTATTTAGTTCAACTCTTTGTGGATTCTTAAGTTCTTTTAATATACTGTATACCCTCACATTTAGCTTATATCTCTACTTTGCGTTTGTGGTACTTTCCACTTTCCTTTTTTCTGTACCTGGCGTATCGAATTCCGGCACTACCCTTATGCCTCGTGCGCGTGCAAACTTCACCACTTCCTTCACATCGGCCTTGGAATAGGTCAGTTCCGGCCGATAAGCGCCTTTTGCTGACAGCTCTGGAAAAACGCTTGAACTGTAGGGGAACGCTGAGTCATCCGTCATGTGCCAGTGGAAGACGTTCAGTTTGTTGTAGGCCATTCCCTCGATGAGTTGCAATATTTTCGCCTTGCTCACAAAGTGTCTTGCCGAATCCAACATTAGGCCACGGTACTTGAAGCGAGGCTGATCGTAAATTTCTGTGCTGCGCGTAAGTAGCTGTCAGTAGTGGCGCGCCGGGTGGCAAGAGGAAACGGTGGTGCATGTAATTTATTTCATAAAATTGTGTGGCATTAATGGTTTAAATTTGTCACTTGTTTACTCACCAGCCCATTTGGCATTGGCACCAACAGTTGGGAGAATGTCTCCAGACCACGTAGTATACCCCAAACGGAGTTGGCCCGCACTACGCCGTCGCCGCGTACGTAATCTGAAGCGTGTGAAAATTCGAAAAAGTTATGCGAAAAGTAAAAAAAAGGCAGCTTTTATAGAGTGGCAGTGAGATAAATTAAAAAGATAGGGCCGAACGAGTGCAAAAGATGAACGAGTTGCGATAAAGGCAACGCTCGTTCGCTTAATTGTACTGTTTTGTGGCGCTTGTGGTTGAAGGACGTGCTGGCTGCCACCAGCTGCCACCGTCGCTCCACTGCCAACTCTATCCCTAACTATTTCAATTATTTATGCACTCACATGACTCATCCATGTCGAGATGTGGCAAGTCTTCGCAGGGCTGTGTCAGATTGACGCAGATTTGCTGGATGATGCCAAGTATGGCGGTGGCAGGGGCGCGATTGTAGCCTTTCGCCGCAGCGGCAATAATGTTGGCATATCGTGTGAAGGCGCTTTGCAAGAGCGCACAGTTTTCGTTCACCGCCTTAAGTAAAAGCAAAACGGAAAATTACAATTTTTTTAGTGCAGAAGTAAGGAAATTTTATAGACACGCACGATAAATTGAAAGTTGGAGCTATTCACCGCATAGTACTTGTTACTCTCCACTTGTTGGTAGGGCTTGGGCCAAATCTCACCTTCGGTTTGCATAATTAGTAAATTGTAATCACTGAGTACTCATTTGTTTTACCTATAGTAGACTTGAACTCTGGACCAAAGCTGAGGTATCCTCCATCGGCATTCAATTTGCCGCAGAATACGAAAAACACAACTAAATTAAGAAAAATGCGCATTTCGAGCGTATTTACGAAATTGTTCTGTATTCTGTCAGCTTAAAAACTATACTGTCTTAGTACTCGTTCAGTTGTGGTAATGTTAGAAGCAACTAGACTGATAAGAGAAACGGTACTTTGTATACTTTATTAGGGAACCACACCTTAGCAAATTTACACAGCTGCGATCCTTTTTTTGCATTTCACTGTAATCAGATAATTATACTTAAAATAATACTTAGTAGTTGCGTGCCCTGCAGGAAAAACTGAGAGCAATTGGAGCAAGTAGCTATTCTCCCACTGATTCATTCAGCCATATTACGATATATATATATATTCGACATTATAGAATATATATATATACATACGTTCTATATATATATTAAAAGAAACGTTTCCCAATTAGGAAAAAATTTAAAAGAATTACTCAACAAAGGTCAGCTGACATAGTTTCTATTACTAAGACGCAATTCGAAGAGCACTTATCTTTCACAACTACTTCTCACCTAAGAGATTGAGCCACATGCTTAATCGCTTTTAAAGAGAAACTTTAGAAATGACCTCCAGACAGTCGGATCCAAGTAAACGGAACAGATCCAGTTTTTATATGGCCAAAGACTGTGAACTTCGCACAATTTCTCGAAGTTAGTTTAGAAATATGTTCTCTCGCTAAAACAAGAACAGAACCCGTCTGAAAAGGTAGATTTATATAGATAGAAACTATTTTCCTTTTCAAATATTTAACTTTAAGTCGACGTATGATTTTATCCAATTTAAGTTCCTTCACGCGTTCATTTTCAACTTCAAATTGCGCCTTTCTTCAGCTTATTTGAGATCACTAAAATATGGCGAAATAATGAGCTGACGATTGTCGTCGTTTTGTGGGAGGGATTACAATAAATTTCGCGATGCTTCCAAGTCCAGCCTCTAACTCAAGCCTCTATAACTAAACCCTCCCACTGCCACTAGCAATAACATTCGGTTTTTTTTTTTTTCAAACTCTACATTGAGTCAAATGGACTCACTCTAAAGCAACTCCGCAGGGCAAAGTGCAGGTTTTCATTGTTATCGTTAGTCCATTGGCTCATAGTCGCTACTCTTAACTTTTGCACCGAAGTAAGATCGTTTTATTAAGCCAAAGCTTGCTCGAGGAAAATTTTAGTTTTATGTAATTCGTTTGACTTCGGGAATCCGTTATAAATGCAATTGTTTGGCTTCTCATTTTCAATTTTTTTGCTTTACTTTGTGCGGACTTCCTTGTCTTCAGCGGCTGATTTGCATTCACAGGTCAGTACGATTTTGTCCGAAAGAATAATAGAAATTTACAAAGAAAGTTGATTGTGTTCATTCAAATCATTCAAATGCATTCACTCAGTTGAAATGCTTGCAAATGTCCGATATGTGCCATATATGTACAATGGCATACTGACAGCATATTACAGTTTTGTCTACATGTACTGACATATGTACAACAAATATATTTTCTTTTTCGCTTGCTTCTTCACTTTTTCTCTCTTTTTGACTTTATTATGGACTAATTTTATACCCAAAGGCTGAAGTGAAGTAAAATTTCGCTAGCTGTTTTTGTTGAAGCAAAAATTTACGAACGAAAAAAATATTTTGACTTGCATTCCTAAAATCTTGTGTTCGTCTATAGCAAAGATTGTTTATAATTGACTGAGAAGTTGCGCTGGGAAGCAAAAGTTGAGACTATGACTATAAGCAAAATAACTGCTTAAAAATAAGCTAATAATAACAAGCCAAAAATCAAAAGCTGGTGAATCTTAGAGCATGTTTGCCCGTCGTCTTTTCGTAGCTAAAAATGTATGCCATCAATATTAAAATTTGTGATAGATAGTCTTCAGTATCTTCTGCTTACTATAGATATACATATATATATATCCAAAAATATTCGGTTCCATCTGAATTCAGCGCTTTCTTACTTGTTTTCGCATACACCCATACATATGCATTTAAATTGAATGGGTATACGGTTTAGTTTTATTCTTCCTCTTTTTTTGCTATTTTTATTTCAGTTTGTCTTTTTTCGTTTTGTTTTTGTAAGCTTAATTGAATGTGCAATTTCGCGTTGCGCCACTTATGGGCGTACAAACATATACATACATATTTCCTACCAGTGAGGCAATTTTGTGTGCGGAGTTATTTCAATAACGACAACAACTAACTGGTGCCATAAAGGCTGGTTGAGAATTAATTCTAACGATTCAGAAAATGGTTTCATTACTCAGTGTTACGCTATGATTTTCTAACCAGAAGTGTATACGATTAGAATATGCATATCGTCAGCTAAAATGCAAAATAACGTAACATAACTTTTCATAAGTTTACAGGCGAAGGATATAATAGAAATCACTCGAATCGAAATAAAATTTGAGTTTTAGTTATAAAATGGTTATATCTGCCAGATTTTTTTTTTCAAAATTCAAATTTTCAAAAGGAGCAGTCGTCAGCTCTTTATAGGTATCTGTATTATAATTAAATATAGAAAATTTTCAATTTAAACTTGAACTAAATCTCAAATAGTAACTCATGTTTACTAAGCCATTTATTATTTGGTTGAAAGTGGAATCATCAGTGATGCTCTGAATCTAAGATCTTGAAGTCACGCCGCTGGACGTTGGCATGTAACTAGTTACTGAGCGAAAACCAGCAAATTTCCTTGCACTTGGCACAGTCACAGAAAATTTTTAATTTTCCCAGTTTTCTGTTTTTTGCACGCTTCGTTAGCAAATCTCAGCAAGCGTTTCGGCCAAATTGATTTTTCATAAAAATGTGTGCAGCGCACAAACAACAGGCGAAATGCAAAAACGCAAACGCCATCAGCGGCGCTTAAAAGCCTTCCACCATGACGCGCGAACAGTTTGCTACCCACACGCTGAGCCGGTTAAGCGTTCAGATATCTTGATTTGAAAATCTTAGCGCCATCTCTTGAACATCGGTATCGATTACAGCGCGGTTATCGCAATACCTTAATTGCACTCAACGCTTTGATTTGTTTCTGAGTTTATTGAAAGTCACACCACGCAATTGTCACACCGCTCAAATTGCCGCGCTGCGTCCATGCGGCGGACGGACACTTCATTAGCAAGACGTGACTTTTCGTCGGCCTACACAAATATTTTGTTTACCGCACTTGAAGTCGCAGTAGCTGTTGTTGTCGTTGTTATTTTTGTGTTTACGGATATAATTACTTGTATTGATATAGAGATCTCCATATATAATATGTTGACGTGTAAGCGCTGAGTCGATGCTGCGTTTTGTTGTCGTTTCTGCACAATTCTTTTGCCTGCGCAACAAAAGCAACAAACAACTTATTTGCAGCGAAGATTTGTTAACAAAATAAACAGAGAAATCCTCTGACGTTTAAACCGATTGCGGCCCACACGCAAAAATCACCATGAAATGCACTGGAAAAATAAATATTGGGTAGTCGAAAAATTCTGTTCGTATTTTGTCAATAGATGTCGTTGAAGGCGTCCAGTGTTACCAATCACATTGTGTCATACAACAACTGTTAAAAAAAAGGTTGAAAAATACGAAAAGACTTTTTCCACTACCCAATATATCTTAAGTAATTTAGTGATCTTTAATGAGTAATGGGTTTTACAATTATTTCCTGGAAAATAAGGAAGATAACTGTTATTTTCTAAATAGAAAACAGGAAAAAGCTGGTACTTGGGTCACACCGAAGCCTGAATACCCTTTAGAGGTGCCCTTTTTTATGGTATAAAAGATTATAAAAATATCTTTATCTGGAGTTTATATAATATAACAGGTATTTGCTATAGTGGTCCGATATTGGCCTCTGACAAATAAGAAAAGTGAGAAAAGGAAATAAAGAAGAAATTTCTGGTCGATATCTCAAAAATGGAGCGACTAACGCGCATATATACAGACGGACGTATCTAAATTGGCTCAGCTCCTGTTGCCGGTCTTTTATTGATATACTTTTATAGGGTCTTCGACGTTTCCCTCTGGTGCCACAAACTTCGTGGCAAATTCCATACACCCTTTGCATATTCAAATAACACATTCATACGATTATATAAGACTTAGTCTATAAGTATAAAAATATATTCTTAGAACTTTTTAGAAGAGTAAATGATGTATTTTGTTAAATGCCCTTCGCGTGGTTGTATTACACCAAGGCTGTGCTAGATTTGTTATGTTTTTCTTCCGTGTATCACTGAACAAGTTTTGGCCACGCTTCTAATCCGGCTCATTGGCTCTCAGTCGGCTTAAGCCTTTGTAATGGAAATCAAATTATGGTGTTATGGATGTGGGCTTAACACTTGCATGACCACATTAAAAGAAAAAGATCTAAATTTTTTAGTTTTCTGAGTGCTAATTCGTATAATTCAGGAAATAGTCATAATATATGAACGTAGTCGAGAATGGGTTAAAATCGTATAGCATACTCAAGAACGCTCCTATTTGTTTCTATCAGGTTGATTGCCGTGCGATTACAATACATACAAACGTCTATTAGATAAGAACTTAAGTGCTCGAACGCTTGTTTAGCAGTAATGAGCGCTTTATGAGCTAATTAATCAATTATAATGAATTATGCACGCCTTTTTTGGGGCTAAGAAATTTTAGTTGCCGCAAAGAAAACGAGAGCTGGCACACATGCGCACTATTACATTATATTATTACATACACATTTTAGACTGCATATACATATGTGTTTACAATTTTCAAACCACCAAGTACGGTAATTTACCTCAGGGTAGTTATTTCATTGCGCACCCATATAATCTGGTTAAGTAGCACATCTAGATTTGTGGACTGCCACAGTTGTCATCGCCACCAAACAAAATTTCACTAGCTCAGCGGTTTCTCTTATTTTCTCCATAATTTCATAGTTTTTATTTACGCGCGTATGTTGTTGGTATACATAGAAATGTACATATCACGCACCAGCTGCAAAAGCATCACAACTCAAATATCAAACAAATTTTCAAAATCATTTTTTTTTTTTATCAATGCTTATTCACTTATCTACCTACTCAAGAAATTTCATTGTCATCACTAGCATACTTAACTGGAAAACCACTCTTAGGTGCATTTTTGTGTTAATTGTGTTCTTGCCTCCTGAACACTTGCCGTTTTCGACTTATGACTCTTTTGTTTAGAGTGTGCGATATGTACAACGTTAATAGCTTCATAGCATAGCTCTTGAGGTGTGCCATTATTTGCTTAAATAAACGTGCTTAACTAATTCTTAGACACTTGCGAAAGTGTTGCACAAACAATGGAAGTCATAAATCAAAGCAAGTCCACGTGGTGGCCAATCACAAGCTCTTACGACTCAATATCGTCTTTTAAGCACACACTATCGAACTTCCAAACTTTAACTAAAATTTTAGATATAGAAAGTTCCACAAACGGAATAAGAAATGTATCTAATATTTTTGTGATCTTCTCAATATATTCTAATAGGCATATGTATGTATACATTATAGCAAATCAGAGTCATAGTCTTAAATAGTTTGTTTTATTAAAACTTGTATATATATATATATATTTATATGTTTTTTCATATGCAATTTTTTCTTAGAACAAAGGCGAAAGCACAATATTTTCTTTAATCAGCATTCATTAGCCAGCTTTTTGCGTTTTTTTTTTTGCTCCGATGAGGTCATTTGATACCTTCATTTTGCGCATTTGCGTTAATATCTTTATTTTTACTTGTCCACCTATCACGACAGTGACAATGCCAAACAAATTCCTGACTCAATATATGGTCATGAAATTTACAAAAGTTTTATAAATAAACACATGACTTAAACGAGAAATTAGTAATTTTCATAAGCACATAAAGACATACATATTGGTTTTAAAATAATGTTTTTCATTATTAAATACTTGAAATTTTTCTAAATATTTTGTTTACTACTTCTGCAAGGAGTATGCACGAAAATTCCAAAACTGAAAATATTCTCGTTGAATTCGGCTTTGATGCAAAATCCTATCTTTAGCTTTAATTATTTACACTCATACATCCAGTTTTTAACATTGTATGCAGTATGTATTGTGGGCAAAAAAAAGTAAGACTTTTGATTTAAGTTTTGCGTGAAACCACATTCGTACGGCGATCAACATCAACTGATGATCAACACGTCAATATATTTTAAGTAATTGGTGATTAAAAATCAACTATTAACGGTCAGAGATCCAACTAGCATTGTTGGAATATCGGAGGAATCAGTGAGAGCCAATTTGAAAGATCATTTGGATTTAAGAAGAAAAAAAAACACTATTGGTTCGCGTTAACTTCTGTGAAACAATGATTTCCCAACACAAGGAGGTCACGAAACATAGTATTACTGGTGATGAGTATTGGAACTATAGGTATGACCCGGAAATAGACGATCGGTCTGCCGAATATCGTGGCAACGGTGAATCGACCCTGAAAAAACTACGTCAAAGCAGGTCAAAAATCAAGGTTATGTTGACAGATGGCTTCGATTATCGAGGAGTGGTGCGCACCGAACTTCTCTCGACTCCCGAAGTTGTCAAAAAGGAATACTATTTGAGTATTATGCGTCGTTAGCGCTAAGCTACTCGCGACTATTCGCCTGATTTAGCTTTGTGTGGCTTCTGGCTACTCAGCAAACTCAAATGACCGCTTTCTGAAAACCGTTTTGAGTCAATTCAAGACTTAAACTTGAATCGCAACACGCAGTGAAGGCTATTCCCGATCCGAGGATTGGAAAAAATGTTGTCATAAGTGTATTGTGACCAAGGGGTTTTACTTTGAAGGGGGCAAAGATTTTGAAGAATAAATTAAGAATTTTAAAATTATGAAAAAGTCTTACTATTCCTTGCTTTTACTAGTATAAAAAATTGTTATAAACTCGCGTATAGCTGCGCAAGTGTTGGCTACGCCAATAAAGAAGAAGAAGTAAAAAAAAATTTTGCGTTTAACTTCATCGCCGATTTGTCAGTTAGAAATTTATTTTTCTGTTCAGGTATTTTGCTTACAAAAGAAAATGTCGAAAGCCGTATTCTATGGAATATTCAAAGATGCTAATTAGCTCCATTGCTGTGTATTGTAGCTGAACAAAAAACCTGATCCAACAATCAGCAACGATCTGAGCGCTTATAGCGTGCTGGAGCAAATAAACTCATTACGAAAAACTCTCTTAAACCGCCAAACATGTTCTCTTTGCTACTCTTAACCTTGAATTGGAGGCAAACTTATCGCAAGTTTTGTCTTTACACTTCTTCGCTTGCATTTCTTTGTGCCCGCTCTTGCATAAGCTCTCACTTCAGTTGTCTTTTAGTCGCTCGCTTCTTTCAACTTCATATTCACCGCAGTTCATTCATAATTATCGGCGTATCTGCTTAGTTCCCTTTGTTCTTCATGTTTCACCGTTGCTTGTGTTTTTGTTTTGCTCTGCAATCAGGTGTTAATCGTTTGCTGCCGATTGGTGTTTTATGTTGCACCGAATCGGCAGTGCATTGAGTTGCTTTTAACTCGTTGCATTCAAATCGCATAACTTTAATAATTTAGTATTTATAAGTATTATGTTTATTTTCAAATATTCGAGATTCCACATTGGCGATCCATATCGAGCGTTAGAACAATAACGGGTTTGGCAATAAAATAACCAATTGCGTCGATTTGTTTGCATTTATGGCCTTACAGCGCTCCATTTGCGGCAACATTGTGCTGGAGGCCAGTATCAAACACACATACATACAAACATATTAGTATGTGTGCACTTGGGCACGTTGCGACTTCCACATGCTTCATCATTTCTTTATGGCAGTGTAAAACTGAGGAAATGAGAAGAAAGGTAGTAAAACTCGATTGCTTTCTCAGATTGGATTTACTCGTACACTTACTTCTTGGGTTTCATACCGACTTCATGGCAGTTAATTGCCCAATTGACCCAACATTTTTACTTCGCGGTGATTAGACGGTCAAGCCGCTGTGCCAGAACGCCCCAATAAAAAATTTAAATGCGTTAGAAAGTAAAGGCGAGCCCGAAATTTAGAATTAACTACTCGCATGCATATACATCTGTATATATTTATATACATATGCTCGAGTATATATTTGTTGTACAGCACCACTTTTCCTTTTCTATCACTGTTATGGCAGAAATGCAACACTGTAGAGCAAAAATTTTGAAATGCGTTCAAAAACAGGTGTTTCGGCAACTGAAGTTTCGGTGTCAACTTGAAAAAAATTCTTCCTCGTTTAAGTAAAAAACAAAAAACGACAAAAAAATAATCAGCTTCACCTGTAACTCTTGCCAAAATAACTCCAAAAATTCTTTGTTTACTAGCGTACTAGCTAAGTATTTGGACCACGAAGCAAATCGTAAATTTCTAGTGCGGAATTCTCGGGTTTCTGTTTTGATTTTCGTTTTAACCTTTTGCTAACTAAAGTTTTATAAGAAGTATTCAAAAGCATAACTACAAACATATGTACATATGTGATGACGAAGGTGGCGTTAGATGCGTCGTGCAGCGGTCCGCAGCTCAATGAGAACTCGATGAAAATAATCATTACAGCGGGCGACAGGAGCACAAAGAGCTCTTCAAATCTGCTGCATTGGCTCAGGCGAAGCGTGCGACGGGGACTGTTTGTGCGAAAACCCAAAAGTAAATAATTTTTTGTATGCGTAATTGTGTAACAGCACGAACACGTGGTTTCGTGCGTAAGATGACAAGCAACTATGCGATGCGAATAGCAACAACATGCAACAAAAGTGTGATTTGTGTCGAGGTTGTGTAAGCATGTGCCTGCATTGAGTGTTGTTAGTTTTAAGCAACATGTTGACGCAACATGCATACTGCCTAATTGTATGCAACACTTGTGTACAATTCGGTGTACTTTTTTGTATTTCATGAGATTCAAAGTTTTTCTAGGGTGTTTTAAAATTATTTATTTTAATTAAATTTAAAAAAATTAAAATAATATTAATAAAATTTCCGGATTATTAGACTGTTAGACAACGAACCAACCATTTTGCGTAAAGCGATATTTAATTGATTTTTTTTTCTCATTTCAGAAAAACGTTATCCTTCACAAAGTGTTTCTGCTACACCTTCGACCACATCTACGGCAGTCAGCACGCCCACGGGAAGTGGCGGTGGAAATTTAAAAGTGAAAACTCCGCAAACAGTGAAAAAAATTGTTAAAGGTGAGTGCACTTTAGTTACTCAGTAGACAAAAAGCGAAATTTAGCCAATTGAGGAGCTATTTTTATGGGTTTATTGAAAGAAGGAACTTTATTTAAAATAAAAAAAAAAATGAATTTCAAATAAAAAAATAAATAATTTAAAATTAAAAATAATTAATTTAAAATTAAAAAAAATGTATTTAAAAATTGTTTAGCTTTATAAATTTAAGCGAAAAAAGCATTTTAAATATTATTGAATGATAATTTTCACTCATCACTTCATCAATGCGTCTTATTATAAAATAATTTGTTAGCAAGGAGTGAATAAAACCGACAAAACAGATCAAAAATGTTAATTGCTTGAAGCAAGTTGCAAGTTGAAATCAAATCGAATTGCCATTTTCCATGCAAACTTATTAAGGGAAAATTCATGCCGTTGGCCTAGTTTCATATCTAAGAGATTTATACAAGCACGCATAATCGGCTTGCTGGGACGGACTGCGTTAATTTGACAAATGTTTTGACACATGCCATTTAATTGAGCAAAAGCGTGTATAAGTCGTATAAAATGAAAGGAAACTACGAAACAAACGAGGCAATTAAAATGAGAATGAAAACCACGAAAGTCAATTTGTACCCACCTGATTTGCACGCCTACTTCACTTCGGAACACCAACGAACGCAACGAATAAATCGAATTAAGCAAGACACGAAGAAAGGTTTTTATCAACCATTAAGTTTTGTGTATTAAAAAGCCACGAGAGGTTTTTATTAGCCCTCCAACGTTTTGTGGTCTTCGCTGACATTCATGGATTTCATATCTTGTATTCACAAATCTAACTGCTTTAGTAGAAAAAACGTGGACATCATTTGAAAGACATTTTCAACACAAACACGCCGGACTTAGATACTTATGAATGTAAGTAAGTTATGCGTGTGCGTTAGGGCAATTTATAACTCTTTTTGAGATAAGTGCATTTAAAGTCGAAGACAAAATATATTAGAATGAAGATTTATGGCTAGAAATCTAAGGGGAATGCAGGCGTAATGTGAAGATATTATCATTTGTTGGACGGCGATAAGTGTGGGTCTAACGCAGTTACAAGTACAACTTAATTCATGGGACACCTAGTGCTACTATCACTCTTTTATGAGAGGGTTGTAATACACAAAAAAAAAAACAGGTTTCTCCAGCATAGATCTTGCATTGATTTGTGCTGGCATGCGTTGAACACACTCCATTGTTTCACCAATTTACTTAAGGTTGGAAAAAAGGTTAAATTAAACATTAGGTTATGAGATACACAAATGTACGCACATACACACACTCATAAACCACAATTTCTCAGCGTTGACAAAAACTGCGCGGTCGCTCCACATAAAAAAAAAAAAAAAAAAAAAAAAAAAAAAAAAAAAAAAAAAAAAAAAAAAAAAAAAAAAAAAAAAAAAAAAAAAAACAATGCGCAACACCCGTGCCTTTTGGGAGCTCGCATGTCTTCTGGGTGAGCGTGACGTTGCTGCGGACTTATTTACTTTTAATTTGCCGCAGTTTATGGAACGCGTTTGTGGTAGCTTGTTTACTTGCCAAAAAACAGTTTATTGCTCTTGATTACCGCCGTTTGCTGCGAAATGTAGAAACCACAGTCACATATACAGACACACATCCGCACGCGTTCGTGCATGTGCATTTTCGGTTAAAATATAAGCGATCTAAAATTGTTTTTGTAAAACAAAACAAAAACAGCAAACTTTATATATGTTGTGCTATGTAATGCTGTAAAATAAAAGTGGAGCATTTATGGCATTGGCATACATATCTGTATATGTGTGTGCATATCTCAAATTTGAGTAAAATAGCTTGAAAAACTTTGAATTATGTATTTAGACTATTTTATTGCTATTTTTATGCTTAAAGCTATTTAAAACCACTGTAAAGTTTTGCAGCACCGTTAGTACTATTTAATATGCTTACTTAAAATACTAATGAACTCATTTCAACATTATTAATTACATGACCATATCATGGTAAGCTATGCTATGTCAATGTCTGAGACTCAAACCAAACATTTTGGGGATTTCTTATTATTGCTTATCAAATTTAAAAACACACTAAATACATATGTATATATAAATAGCTACTTAACTCATTTCAATTTGTGTTAAAAAATATATTGATGACCGTATGTGTGTGTAATTACGACTATGTACACATATGCAGACATAATTTTCGGATGCGCATAATTTTTAATTAGTGTAACGCCAAATTAAAGCTTATGGCCAACTGCTTTGGAGTTGTCGATTCGTCTTCGGCGGCGCTTACACCATACACAGAGTGAACGAATTATTGCGGCTGCGTATTATACCAACGTTATGACATATTAGCGCCGCCTCACACTCAAACAAAAAAAAAAAACAAAAAAAAATCGGAATTGATTCGTATATTGATTCGTGATGCTTTCACAGATTTTTGTTTTGACAAGAAAATTTCATTGCTTATGCAACGCAATAATACAATTTTCAGTGGAATTCAGAATTGCAGACTTGCAGCGTAACAAATGCTGTTCACGAAGTTTTTTGTTAGACGGAAGTGAACACGAAGAGAGAAGGAGCTCATTTCGATCCATACAGCCTAAGCGGTGAGAGTTGATCGGAGTTAAGGTCCAATGAAAAGTCTATCTAAACACGTTTTTTTGACAAAGTTCTCTTCAACGACAACTTTCCGATACCATTTTGTAGCGCTACTTGTCCCTGGCTTCAAAATAGGCCCTAGTTTCGGTGATCACCTTTTTATTCGTCGGTAATTTCTTCCCAACGAGCATTCTTTTTGAATCCAATAACGGTAATAGTCGCCAGAACTGAAATATTCTTTTTCTTCAAATGCGCTCGCTTCACCACGTCTAAACTTACCATACCAATCATTGATGGTTGATTTTCCTGGGACGGTGTCAAGAAACTCATCCTCAGGCTAAGTGTTTTCTTTAACTGTAATCAATTGTTGTAGCGCCATCTATGAGTCAGGTCGAGGACTTTTCAACTGATGAATAAGGCATTATAATAGCGATCTCTGTTCTGGGGAATGTTTTAGAATGTTTTGTTTTGGAAGTCGCTAAACCCCACACAAACATCGATGCGGTGTCACATAATGTCATGTGACGAATAATGACACACACAAAGTGTTCAAAACAAAACCGTTCGCCTTCAAAGCGAGAGTAATGCTTTTGGCACCTCATCAACTCAACGACATCGCTTTTGCTAATTCACGTTCATGCAATCATTCGCATTTGCAAGCTATTGCAATGGAATGCCGAAATTATGTTGTGGATAAAAATCTGGTAATGCATGGCAACAGCCCGAAATGAAATTGTAACGGTTATCGCTTGGAAAAACACAGCGCCTTATCGCTGCAAGTTGTAAAAATGGAAAACAAATGGAAAACAAGAAAATTTGCTCAACAAAATAGGCAGTTGTAGCGCCGTTATGTTATGTTATGGCAAGTTGCAAATTATATTATTATGGGCCTATAGAGTTAATGACTTCACCAGCCGGCCGCAGCAGTGGCAGACGCCTCGAGTGCCACCAACTTGCCGCTCGTTACGGCTTTACGCACCTTAAACACTTTTACTTTTGCTGCAAAACAAAAATTTACAATTTTCGTTCGTTTTTTTCCAAACAGTTGCAAGTACTTGTAAGGTTTTGTTTCGCTTTGCAAATTTCACTAGTTTTTTCACGCGTTGATTAAACTGCGTAATTGCGGGAAGAGTGCTGCCCGCGGCTCTTTAATATTTATGCACGCCAGCGCCTTCGTTTGCCGCGAAGATTTCCTTTGGCGATTTCGAACACTTTGTTGCATTTCAAATCTGCATAAAATGTTTTGCTAAATAAGCGATTTATTCGAATTTAATTTCGAAATTGAATTTAAATTTAGATGTGTACATTCGTTGAATGTGGCTATGTATTGAAAACACTTACAAATTATGTTTAATGCTGCATTAAAGCACCTATTTTCTGCTGTGTTTCGGTTATAACAAGCTTGATATCGTCAAAATCGCTTGAGGAGATTGTAAATTCATTGAAATTGTAAGAGGGCGTCCAATAACAATTTAAATTATCCATTATCCATCAATTCGTCTTCATCGTGGAAGCGCCGCGGTGTTGGCAAGGCACCTCTTGGTACTAATTCGTCTCTGCTAATTCGCGCTTTTGTGTTAATGTCGGAACGAAGTAATAGCAATAAAAATTACACAATTAGGCAGATACCAAGCGATGAAACTGCGAATTTCGTTACAATTTTTTGCATGTGATTCGTCTTCCAAATCGAAATTTTCGAAATTGTTACACTTTTCAAATGTAAATTAATATTTTTTTGCGATATTGCCTTCTAGAAAAGATGTTTGACAATGATTAACAGCCTTTTTTCAAAAATTTTTTTCTCTTATAAAAAATTAAATATTTTATTAGATTTATAGTTGAAACTGAAAATTGAAACATTTTTCCAAAAAAATTTAAATTTTTTTTCAAATAGTTTCCTCGTTCAAGTCTTTAAGAATTGTAACTCAAATACCTGTGTAAAATTTCATGAAGATCGGTTGAGTAGTTCTCGAGAAATCCTGCCAATCGACTTCAAAAACACAATTTCCAGAAAAACGCGTTTAAAAACAGCACATGTAGCCTCGCTAACCTCTAGAGAACAAGTTCTCAAGGCTGTATCTCCGAAACTGTTACTCGGATCAACTTGACAATGTAGGACAATATTTTAGAGGTGTTGTAAAATTTATTTGGACAATAAAAGAAATCGATTTTTAGAAGCCTATAAACCCATGTAACACTTTAGGAGGAGACTTAGTCTGATTGGTTAAAAAATATTGACTTTTGGGATTTAAAAAAAACACTACCTTATCGATTGTTTTAAAGTTTGCAGGGCATATTTCTACTAGTTCGAGTGTACGCAGTAAAATTGTAGAAAAAAAAAGACACATCAAATAGTGTTCGAGTGATATGACGGCGCTAAAAAGCGGTGCTCC